GTCTTCACCCTCTCCTCTCATTCCTCGGGATGGGGGTGTGGGGTGGGTGCTTTTCTGGGCAGAGGGGGGCAGAAGGGACACGTTGGTCCGAAGCCCGCTTCCTCAGGGTCTGTCTGTGTGTCCATAGCCAGAGCAGTTCAGCATGGAGAGCCCATCGGCCAGCCTGGCGCTGGACCCCCCTGGCTTTTCTGAAGGGCCTGGATTTTTAGGGGGCGAGGGGCCAGTGAGTGGCCTCCAGGACCCCCATACCCTCAACCACCAGAACTTGACCCACTGTTCCCGCCACGGCTCAGGGCCCAACATCATTCTTCCAGGTGAGCGGTGTGGGTGGTGACGGGCAGCGAAGGAGGAGAGGACACCTTTGCCGGTGCGTCACGAGACTGAGGAGTCTCAGGAGAGTTTTCCGGGCCCGGCTCTCACCCTTCTCTTCTGCCCACATAGGAGACTCCTCCCCGGGCTTCTCTAAGGAGATTGCCGCAGCCCTGGCCGGAGTGCCTGGCTTCGAGGTGGCGGCGGCCGGGCTGGGGCTGGGGCTGGGGCTGGAGGAGGAGCTGCGCATGGAGCCCCTGGGCCTGGAAGGGCTCCACATGCTGAGCGACCCCTGTGCCCTGCTGCCCGATCCTGCCGTGGAGGACTCTTTCCGCAGTGACCGGCTGCAGTGAGGGGCCTCATCGGCGTCCGTCTTCTTGGCCCTGCCCTGTCACTGGTCCTTTCCTTCCTTCTCCCTGGCCAGTAGAGACTCCACTCTGCCCCCTAGATCCTCTTTCTACCATGAACGAGGGATCCCAAGAATGAGAAAAAAGCCAGGGGTCTTGTCCAGGTGGCCCCTGAACTCTGCACAAGGGGCGGGCCTGGGGGAGCTGGAGGGAGGGCCTAAAGCACTTGTAACTTTGAATCCTCTGTCTGGAGGTCAGAGCCTGTTGGAAGGCAGGGATGGAGGGGAGCCCCGGAGGCGGGGCTTGCCCTGCGCCTGGGGGGGGGGGGGGGGCGGGGCCAGCCCCTCCCCACTCTTCCCCTTGCAATGCAGGAGAGAACCAGAGTGGATATTATTTTTTATTAAATATATTATATGTTAATAAAAAAATCATATCAAGCTTTGGCGTGGTTTCTATTGTTGGATATGTATCTGGGGGGTTAGAGGGTCCTGGGGCCCTCTTCTCAGCGCTGTTGTGGTTTGTGGAGGGGCCTCAGCCTCAGAATCTGTACCCAGCGTTGAACTTGGGCGTCCAGGCTGGATGAGGACTCCCAGGGCAGCACACGTGCCCCTCCCGTGCCCTCCCACCCCACCTGCCCAGGCTAGGCTGAGCGTGGGGACAGGGGGCCCTGGCTGGCCAGGCGCGGTGCTGAGGCCCGGCAGTGAGTTCCGGGTGAGGAGGTGGCCGATGGCTGAGATGGCAGTCCGAAGTTTACCCAGGGGCAGCTGGCTACCAGAAGGCTTTCACACCAATTGTGGATGCCAGGCAGGACTCAGGCTGGGTCCCGGGAGAGCCTAGGAGACAGTCGTACCTGGGCAGCCTCGGTGGGATGCTCCCGGGTCTCTCCCCTCTCGCCTGGAGAGGCTTCCCCTTTCCGACCGCCCTCTGCCCTCCAGGCTCTTCGGCACTCACCAGTCAAGGGAGTGGTGTCCCCTTCGGCTCCCCTGCCCCCCTGCTTTCCCTACACCCCACGATGCCGGCCTCTCCTCTTCCTCTTTCCAAAGCCCTTGTCTTTTTCAGAAAAGGGAACTGAGAGCTTGTGGCCGAAGCCAACAGGGAATGCAGTGTCCCCTAAACCTGGAAGTGGGGGTGTCACAGGGTCGGCGCAGCCAGCCGGGGCCTCCTGGGCCACATGTGACCAGGCCCGGCGGCCTACGTGCAGGGGGCCCTCCCGGCCGCCAGGGGTCGCGCTGCAGGCGCCGGGCGGGCGCGACGGGGTCACGGCCGGGGGTGCGGGGT